TTTTTTTTTTTTTTCTTTTTGATAGTATTATTAAGCATTAACAATATTGCAATCCGATACAGCATTCAGAAGGGCTTAAATCTTTGTATAAAAACTGATGTGTGAAGGCCATTGATCTGTTAAAGGTAATGCATTTTTATAGTCCTTTGCAAGGTTCTGCTAGGTATGGCCAGTTATATCAAAGTTCATCATGCTAGATGAAAACCTATCTTTGACTGCATTTTAGATTTTGCGTAAAAACAGCATCAGCTTTTCTGTTAAAACAATTAGTTAGTAGTTTTAGGTGGTGATGGAAATTAGCAATAAATAACTTGTAAGCTTGATGGGTTTACTCCTGAACAACTCTTTAAGCAATGTATTTATGCTGTTTCACCTAGAATAGACATATATATGGTTCACAGAAGAACGGTTATTTGGGTTTAGCGACACATCTTGAATTTAATTTTTTCTTTGCTTTGAAGGCACACCAAAACAGCTGGAGGACAAAATGGTGCAGAAGCTACAAGAGGATGTGGCTATGGAAGAAGACTCTTAAAATGCTTTTATTTTCTATTTATATCTCTTCAGCAGTTAATAGTTCCCTACTGCCTCACCTGACATTATTCAGAACTGTGCTTACAGTTGAAGAAAAGTACATTTTAATGAATAGTGGTCATTTACAGTTTGAATGATTTTTGGTTTTATAAAAAATAATAAGGTGGATACTCATTTGGGCAGTACTTACAATTACATGATTTGAGAAGACCTTGTCATCAGGATGGAGAATAAGGCATATTGTTTGAGATACTATGTGCTCCTTGGAGAGTTACACTTTCTGGATAACTTTTCCCTGCTAATTCAAGGAATAAAAGATGTTGGCCCTGAGCTTTTCTTATTTTGTCTGTTTTTCTTTCTTAGTGGTAAAAGCAGATAAAAGTCTATCTTAATGATTACAAGGTGGGGCAGGATGTGTTATTTTTCATCAGTCCAGTGCAGTCCAGACATATTTTCACTGTCATCACTGGGAAAACTTTTTGGTTTGTTATGAATGCATGTAGTGTTTGTTTTATCTCCTTTTAAAATCAGCTTCCCCAGGATTATGTTGCAGTTGACACCTAAGCCTGGCAAAGCTAACACTGATGTAGGACTTAGTGCTGTTTGGAAAATAGTAATGGTGATAGAATCCAGTCTGAAGTTGGACCTGCCATCCTCCTGACCTACTGAAAATCAAATCTGACATGTAATCAGGCTGATTGAGATGCTCAATAAATCACACTTTTGACTGTTTTTACCTAACGCTTGGGATTATTTTGATAGAAAAGAAGATCATGTTAAAGTGTAGGTGTCTTGCATATTGTGGTGGTATTTATGCAGTGTGTCATCAATACTGAGAGAAATACTCTGCTTTTTAAAAATGTCAGCAGTTTACCTACAACAGTGTGATCAGAGAAGCCTTTCAAAGGCATTTAAAATAGTATTGACTTTCTTGTCAGTGCTAGTTATCCTGAAAAATAGTAATTTGTAATTCTATTCCAAATTTGAATATGTGCTGTATCAAGCACTGGAACACTTCCTCATACCTACCCACATGTGTATTTTGTACTTCAGAAAAGAGTCATATTTGAACATACGAAAAGGGGCAGTGGGGTGTGTGTGAAATAAACAGGTATTGTCCTCAGTTTTTCAGCTCTTGATTTGTGAATTATGTTTAGGTATTTAGAAAACTTTGTACTTTAGTGAGATAAAAATAACTGAGTTCTAGTAATAAAAATATGTAATTATTTCATATTTTAATGAAATTAAAATTTTGCTGTAATTTAAAATTTGCTGATAAGGTGATAGTTGATAAGTATTTTAGATGTACAACATTAGTTTTTCCCCTGTAAATTAATACAAATAACATCTCAAAAGCATATGATAATTTGGCCAGAAAACACATCAATGGGGTGAAATCAGTAAGATGCTACAGTATAATCCTTGGACATAGTGAAGGGAGACCTTCACAGAACAGTAATTAGTATGTTTATGTGTGACTATACAAGTTAACTCAATATTTCAGCTTGGGAAATGTGCTTTTTGCGTGATCTCTTTTACCATAGTATTTGATGTCCTTAATCCTTTAAGTGGGATACTTTATCTAAAAATCTTACTACAGATTTTTTTTTCTTTAATCTGAGCTTTAAAGATACGATGCTCAGTGATTGCCAAGATTTTAATTTTCTCCAAAAATAGTAAAGTAAATCTGTGCAAAGAAGAGAAAGGCAATGAAACCCATTGGATGTTACGTAGTATTTATGTACAATCTTTTACTTTGTATGAGGTGGTTTTAGCTTTAAGTAATCTATATTGCGTGGTATCTGTAGTTTTTCTGTCCACATGTCTTTAAATGAATTGCAATACTTGATCGTGTGCTCTATAAAAGTGCCTCTATGTGATTGTTAACTCTTTCCTGTGAAGGTCTGTAAGTGAAGTGGTCGTGCAGCAGCTGAGAAGAGCCATTTAGGGAGTACACTGCAACCTAAATCCTAAACACTTTGCCAGTTGCATGAGTTGCTTAACCTGTGTACCTCATTACAGCCTGTGTAATAGTATAATTGCAAACATCGGCTTTGAAAATTAATACTGAAGTTGTCCATCACTGTGCAGGTGTGCTGTTTCCCTGAGAAGCAGAGACTTGTAGCCTGCTGTGTATACCTTGTGAGTATGTAGGGGGTAGTTGAGTTTAAAAATTTGTCACGAGTAACGTGCTTACAGCACCCATTCTGAAGGTGCCCTTGTGAATTTTTTTTTTTATTTTATTTTTAAAAAATATTTAATTGCTATAGTGTCCTGTGGTCTTGTCTGCGTCAGCTGGAGCCAGGATGCTGCTGAGAAAGCACATGGTGAGGGGGGAACAACTGCCGCTGAAGAACAACATGGGGCTGGTGATCCTCTGTCCTGCCTATTTCTGCATAACCCACTGCATGCAGAGATCTTCCCAAGCAGCTGCTGAGCTGCAGAGGAGTGGTGGCTTTTCTTTTTCTTTCTTTTAGGGGGCTGGCTGTCAAACCACATTTCTAATAGGAATTGTTCTTATTCAAAAACATTTTGGTGAACAGCTGTTACTTTCATTGCTTGCTTAAGATGAAAATTTTCAACTAAGCCAAAGCTGACTCAAAATTCCTTTAGATTTTGGATTTTGTTTACAAGACTTGAAGAGAAAATGTCCAACTGAGTAGTATTCTGGTGGTCATGTAAAAATACTGCCAAATATCAGGAAGTAAACACATTCCTCTTTCCACTTAAACAACTGTAGCTCAGATGCTGGCTTGCAGAGGAGTGTGGTGATGTGCAAAAGGGGAGCCCTCGTCCACCTCCTGCCTGTGGGTCTGAGCGGTGCCCGGTCTTTTGGGGAGGCAGAGTGGGTCATCGGTTCCCCCAATAGCAAGGCAGAGAGATGGTATTTTATGAGCAGTACATCGTTATTTGTTAGAGATCTCTGCTTCAGTGTCATACATCCAAATCACTGATCCGGTCTCTGTTGAGATCTAGTAGGAGTGGAGCACCAGGTGTTGTGGGTACAGTCTGTTGGAAGACAAATGATGATGTGTCCATTTGATTCAATATTTAATCAGAAAAATTGTTTATTTATGAATAACTGGTAGTGGTTAATTCCAGTATAGAGTCTGTCTTGCTTGGCATCTACTAGATCCAAGAAACTCTTGCTGTTGTGTGTTTGTACTCGATGATGCCGTTGGGAGCCTTTCTTCAAAACAGCGTGATGGGCTTGGATCAGAACAAATGTGATACTCTATTTTTAAGAAATGCTTTTTAGTTTCAGTTGCTGCTGTGTTTTCTTACAAAACAACACCTGATGTATGTTTTTCTTTTGCAGACTGACTGTGCAAAAGGTGGAAATGTAGGTTTTAATAGTGATTTATGAAGTGACTTTTTCTCATATTTCGCCTTTTCCTTTTTAATCCATCACTTTAATGATTTCAAGTTAAACGGTGGCTTTGTTTTCAAGAGAAGGTTAACCTCATGGGTAACGCATTTTGGCTACTGCCTCGCTTCCTTGTGCTGCAGGGCCCTCAGCAGGCCTGCGGCCCTGTGAAGTTACAGCACTGCCCTGAGTTTCCAGAGATGCCTTTTAGATCTTTTATCAGGTTTCACTCTTTTTCACTATGTGATTGTCATCGTAACTATCCAAAACCCGACTGCTCAGGAGTGGTGTGTGGGGAACCATTTCTGTCATGCCTGGGAAGTGTGTGGCCTGTTCGGAGTGACGCCATTTTAGAAGTAACGTTTGCTTTAGGTTCTGTGGGATGCTAAATTAGGGAGGGAGGGAAAGAAGTATTTATTTTCATGTATTGAGCTGTGAATCAAATGTGTGTCTGTTGCCCAAGGTGGAGGAGCAGGGACGCGGTGGCAGCACAAAGCGAGCCGCTGGGCAGGCGGGGCGGGCTGCATTCCTGAGGTAAAAAAAAAAGCTCTCGAGGCTGCCCGGGAACAGCTGCTGTGCCCCATGGAGAGCTCAGGTGTTGTCCATGCGCCTGCGCTCTTGCTGAGGTAATTTCCCTGTTTTTTTCGTACAGAGTAAGACTTGGAGATGCTTCTTTTTGCCTTTGGTCATGGGTTGATTTTGCAATGCATCGCTTGTTGCTTCAGTTGTCTGTGGAGTCTCTTGCTTTCTTGTCAAATTTTGATCCTGAGAGAATGACTGAAAAAAAATGAAGTGGTGGATGACGGTGGTTTTTTTTGTTTTGCTTGTTTTGAAGAAAAAAAGCAAAAACCTCAGGCTTCCCTTTCAGTCTTTCCTTTGCAAGTGCTGACTAATACAGTGTGGAAAAAATGAAAATTACTGCTTTCTGTTTAATCAAATTGTGCTGAACTGGTGCAGATTTTCTTCAGAGGAAATAAGGCCTTCCCATAGTTTTGAAAGATCTGACTTTTTAGTCAGAGATGTTGTTGAGAGATTCTTACTCTTTAGAGTAACAGCATGATGGAGCCCAGAACACGTACGAGATCTGTCCTTTTGTGACACAAAAAACCATAAATCAGTTCAATATGTTGACATGGTCTTATGTGTCAATGGCTGGAAAAGCAATATAGACAGCTGCTAATAGGTCCAAAGGCTTACGTCCCGGGAGACAATATTTCAACCTCCAGGCTGTTCAATTCCTCAATTACTGTTCTAGCCTCAAAAATTCAATCTCTTTCACCAGCCTAACTTATTTATGGGTTGCACTGAACTGCAACCAGGGAGACCAGAAAGCTGAAATCAATCAACCACTGATAAAATTGTTTAAGTCTGCTTGTTGTCTATCTATTTTTAGATCTCAATTTAAAAAGGCTGTATGCAGAGAAATGCCTAAGATTTTTTTTTTTTTTTTTTTTTAAATAATTGATATCACTAATAATTAGTCTTTGGTGTTGTTTGCTAAATACAAAGTTTGGGTTTTTTTTTTCTAATTGTGACCTGATTGACCTGATTATAACCATAGTGTTTTGAACAAGCAGCATTACTTGAGACCGGGTAGGAACAGCAGCAGAAATAAGGATTTGTGGAGGTAGCTG